CCAGCGCCACCGTGACCTTTCGCATCCGCACAAAGTGGCGCGCATTGAGCACGACGACCAGGAAGCGGTTGAGGGCGATGGACACGTGGGAGAGGGGCGAGACGAGGGTCATGAAGACGCCGGCGAAGGCCACGAACTGGCAGAGGGCCGAGCCGGGGGCGGAGAGGGCGTTGGGGCCGCCGGTGGCGGTGGTGTAAGCGTGGAAGGGGGCCACGCAGAGGCTGGCGAGGAGGCTGCTGCTGCAGGCACTCTCGAAGAGCACGTCGGCAGAGGCGTAGGCCGTGCTGCGCTTCACCGCCAGGATGTACAAGCCCGCGACGCTCCCAACGCTGCCGGCCAGGCTGAAGAAGGCGAACAGCAGGCCGGGACCGAGTTGGGGCGGGGCGAAGGCGGGGCCGGAGGAGGCGTTGATGGGTGACGGTGAAACGGCCGTCTCCCCGTAAACACTGTGATTAATCATATTAGTAAAATGCAGGACAAACAAATCGGAATCGCCGGCACTCCTTCTGGTAAACCAGTTGGCTATTTAGCAGGCTAGAGTTTCGTCCGTGATCGAAATTAACCAGACTACGATGTAGGACTAAAATCTGAAAAACCAGCGAGTCGTTCCGCGGTTAAAAAATTGAATAATAAAATCAGCAAACAGCGCTCAACAGGAACAAGTCCATTGCGCACAAATCGCCGGCACTAGGTTCGAACAGAGGAGCGCTGTTTTGCGCAGTATTTGTTAAGGTGAAGCATCTACGTTTTTTGCCTTGCATACACGTTGTAGTAAAGCAATGAGTGGAAAATTAGAGGCCGCAATAAACCAATAACGATCCATATTGCCGAACGCAGCAACTGAACTCCATCGCTTCGACGGTGAGGCGCGCTGCACCGCGTAGTTGTAATATAAGCACTGAATGGGCGATTGTGCACCGCTGCGATTTGTGGTGTGAAATGTGACGTGGGTTTTTGTCTGGCGGCGCCCGTTGACATCCGCTGCCTCCCACACTCCTTGCCGTGTGAACAGGAACCGGCCGGATCGACCTTTCCAGCCACAATCACCGGAAGCGGTTGGTAAAGGTGACACGCTGCGCCGCTTCGAGGGAGCGTGCGCTAATTATAACACTGCCGGCATTCTTGGATACATAGTCACTAACTCGGGCACGGAAGCTGGATTAACAATAAAATGCCGGGATAATTGTTTCTGCTAACATAGACTTATATGAACTGCAGTTTGGCCCGCTTATTCCAAGTTCGCAGCAGCGGAAATCCCCGCAAGCCGCAAAATTGTTGGATCGGGTGTTTTTAGCTATTCCGACGAAATGTGCACGTGCTGCTTAACTAGCGTGTTATAGTGATTTGGAGTAATTATATTATGCCACGGTGCCTGCAGACCATAACGGAAAGGTCACCAGTAAAATGTCTAATTAAGCACGTGAAATAATTAAACGAAATTGATATGCTCACTTAGACATAAAGGTCACCGAGTCATAATAAATTGGGGCGCTACTGCATGTCTCCGTAAAATGATAATATGGATAAATAAATATTTTCGCTGAATATGATTAGCGACGATAATATGCTAGCACGAATCCGCTCTGCTCAACCGAGACACGACGCAAAACGGCAGTCACGAGACGGTCTTCAGTATATGGACGTCCGTGTGGGAGGAGCGGCCGGTGTTGGCGGAAGTGGCGGAGTTCGCGCCTTCCCTCCGCTGCCGTTGCAGACTGAACTCGGCCGCTTGCTTTTTAAGGTGCTGCACGGTGAAGGCCTTGACGGTGGTGTCCAGGCAGATGGCCAACCACGGCGACATCGTGAAACCTGCCACTCACAACAAAAAAAGATTTTGGAGTGATTTCACCACGTAATTATCGAGATCTGAAAAAATGTCAAAAAGTGGACATTTCTGTAATTTCTCACGGTAAATCTTTTTTCGCAATCCGTTTTCAGATTCGTGTTCACGTTTAGTTAAACGCATAAATCGCCGGCACTGGGTTCGACACAGAAGCGCTCATTTGCGCAGAATGCTTTAAAACGAAACATCTATGCTTTGTCACCAAAACGGTTGTCACTAGCGAGCTTTTCTTACCGAGCCAGGGCAGAACGGAGATGTAGGACGCTAGACTCCCGTGCAGCGTGGAGCCCTTATTCAGCAGCCCGACCAACGCCGACGGGAGGTTGCTGCACACAAAGGTCAAACACGACCACGCCGCCACCTTCGTCACGTGCATCTCCACGCTGCGCTGCGGCCGCTTCCCATCGCTGGGCGCGCCCTGGTGCACCCGCAGGTTGCGGCGGGCCACGATGACCTTGAGGAACACCGCGCTGTAGCACACCACCATCACGGCGATGCACAGCAGCGGGCCGGCGGTGCGGATGAACACGTGGTAGCGCAGCGACGCCGCGGTGTCGATTAAGACACACCGGTTGATCCCCGGGTTGTAGGCGTACACCCCGCCGACGCCCCACAACGGCCACATGACGAACAGCGCCGACGTGATCCACGGGAAGGCCACCAAGACCCCCGTGACCTTTCGGGTGCGCACCAGGTGTTTGGCGTTGCACAGGACGACCAGGGCGCGATTGATGGCTAAAGCGACGTGCGCCAGCGGCGAGGCGTTGGCGATGAAGAGGATGCCGACGGCGACGAAGCGGCACAGCGGGGCGTAGCGGGCCGTGGCCAGGAAGTTGGGCGAGCCGGTGACCGTGGTGTAGGCGTGGAAGGGGGCCACGCAGAGAGAGATCCAGAGGCTGGTGCAGGACAGGCTGAGGAAGAGCGGATCGGTGGACGCGTAGGACACCACGTGCTTGATGGCCAGGATGTATAACGACAGCAGGCTGCCCAGGACGCCGACGATGCACATGGGGATGAAGAAGTAGCCGAAGGGGTCCGGCCCGTTGAAGGGGGCGTGGCCGCCGCCGGCGGAAGAGTTGTTGGACATAGTGTGGATGGCGAAAAATACGGAATTTTTAGAATTTAATCAGCGTGACCTTTTACCGATTTATAAAGAAATTAATTCCGAAAAACTCGATTTCAACAGGCAACAGGGACCGCGGCGGAATAAATGTAAAAAGCGCCAGCAGACAGAATAAAGTAAAAACAATTCTGTTTTTCGTAGGGTTAAAAGGCGACGTAGCTAGCACAGTCGCGGCGTTTCCCTGCTTAATGACAACTAAACTAAAACATTATCCAAGAAAATGAGAAATGCATCATCATGCCGGGCGCTGTGATCGCGTTGGTTGTACAATTAAATGTGAAAAGAAGACACCATATAAAACGGTGGACGTAAATGCCGGGATTAAACTGCACAGACCACGTCCCATCCAGTACTGGCAATGACGTTGGCAGACTGATTTGCTGGTTATTGTTCTGCGCTTGCCTTAACTGCAGATCAGGTTTCCCGGGACGTGCAACGCCTGTGCAGTCTGAGTGCTACGGCAAAGGGGCGAGCGGATCGAATGACAGCGGCAGCGGATGTCGTTAATCGCTCGTACGCGGACATGATCGTAGTTACACAAGGCGGTTCTGTATTATGCGCTGACGTACAGAACCGGCACGTGTTGTGACGTTGTCGCGGAAGAACACCTGACCGGCGTGACGCTGATGCCGGTTCGCCAAGGAAAACCGATCGTGTGGAATGTTACACGTGGCGAGCCAGTCTACAGTATATAGGGGGAAAAATGAGTCTAGCCGAACCAGTCCCTTGTACTTCTGATGCAAGCCAGCTGGTGGTTTACGTTGTGGCTTGACAGTGTTTTATGTAAAGCGCTGCTATTAAGGCTGTGCGGCATTGACGGTACATGTGGTTTTGGCTGCATGGGGCTATAATACAGTTTTAGCCTGCTTATCTGCAGTTGTACGAGTGCTGCTTACCTGTTATCAGTACCTGTACGAGGACATTTGGGTGCTGTGAACATACCCTGCACGATTAGGCTGCGATGAACAGCTGGTTAGCCGTAGCTCGCAACGCTACTGTTATCACAGTCTGAATGCAAACGGCTATAAATTTAGCCGGCTGTTCATCGCAGCCTAATCGTGCAGGGTATGTTCACAGCACCCAAATGTCCTCGTAATCTTAATAGCGGCGCTGTACAGTACATAAAACGCCGTCTAGCCACAACGTAAACCATCAGCTGGCTTACACCAGAAGTACAAGGGACTGGTTCGGCTAGACTCATTTTTCCCCCTATATACGCTCGCACACTGGCACGTCAGCAAAAGCGCCATAAATGGGGAAGCGCGGCCCAGTGGGCGGATTCCCGCGATGGAAACACATGTCTGATGTCATTCCTTTAGTGTACTGAATGTACTACGTAATAATTTACGCATTTGCAGTTGCAAAAATTGTCAGTTTCTTACGTGTTGATAATTCTCGTAACTGTTACCCAGTATTACTGTATGTACATGCAGATACAACAGTACAAGACAGTGATCCTTTAATAATTATCACGATACCAATGTGAAACAGATTTTATAACAGAAACACTTCCTCTTTGCTCGGGAACTGTGCCTATCACTCAAAACGCAATCCCTCTTTGCATTTGCACAGAGAGCCGCTGCTTAAAAAAACTCTTTTGCTCGTTTCTGGCCAGCGGCGGTGTGACGGTGGCGGTCATATGTACATGTACATATTATATAATTACTGTGTTGAAATACTATATTATATGTAGGTTTCAACAAATCTTTTTACGATTTTAATTGTGGTCACTATATCAATCTAATTCCCATAAAACGAAGGTATTTGTCTACAATACTTACTTTACTCTACTAGATACAAAAGTCCCGCTCGCCAGTATGATCCGTATCAACTATCAAGATGGTCCAAAGTCCTCCAAACCGCCGACATGTACCAGTATTAAGACGGTACGTTACCGTACGCTACAGCCACGATTTTCGGCTGCCAACTGCCGACCGCGATCATATTTACGCGTCCCATAATCAGATCGCAGTCGAGAAGCGATCGCCACGTACTATCGCACCGTTCTTGTCGTGTTCGTTGCTGTCCTAGCAACTACTGTTTTACTTCATACGTCTTCCTGTTATATTCCTGTCATTCTACCTGCTGCGCAGTTGCTGTACACATCATTAATTATGTAGTATTAATTAACTATTAAAGTATTACTTATACAATACTTCACAGTTCTCATAACTCATAAACTATCACACCGTTCTCATAACTGACATGTGACAAAAACAAGTTGAATTTGGTCTGTTACGAAAAATGTACGGAAAGCTTGGTCTAATCCGTTGTGTATTCTTGCTGTTATGTTATAGCAGTTCATGCATCTATTCTCAGCAGACGGGTGTTCCGGCTACCAGTGACTGCTGGCCGAATACCAAATTTGCCCTGTTACGCACAACGACCGACTGTCCCGGAGGCGGCGCCTGGGGCACCGGCGAAGTAATGCACCGTCTCGGTCCGAACTCCTCCGTCTCCCATCCGGATCTGCTCAGCGTGGCAATCACCGAGGAAGCCGTCATCCTCGACTTTTGCGTCCTGGACCCGTCCGAGGACTGCGGTCCGGTCAGAACCGCCTTCCCGCCCGGCTCATACTGTATCCTTAACGCGCAACCCGGGATGCGGTTCGCTGACTGCCCCGCCGGCTTTTACTGGAGCGCCGTCGGGTTGGACGACGTCGGGACGCCAATCCGGCGGCCGCGGGCTCGAGGTCACGTCCCGACCGGGGAGTACCTGCCCACCTTCACGCACTATTATTTTTGTTGTCGCAACGATTCCGCGCCGGCTAATCCCGTGCTGCTGCCCCCGCAGTGGCCCTTTATCCTCTTCCCGTTGGGCGTGCACTGCGCCTGTCAGGAGGTGGTCGGAATGCGGGCTAAGATGTTTTCTCTCTACCTGGATGCGGAGAACGGCTCCTATGTCAATCGTCCCGATCCGTATCGTTCGCCGTACGCGGTGACGGCGAACAGTACCGTTGAGGGGGCGGGGCCCGCCTGTGCCGGCGAGAAACGCGGAGCCGGGCTGCACTTGCACATGTGCCATTATAGTTCATGATGAACACGGGATCCGAATTATCTGATTGCGTAAACGCTCATGTTAAAACCGTAAACGGAGAACCGGTGTTAACAAAATTAACCGGCGTACGCATTTTTTATTATTTTGATTTATTAATTCATCAGTTAACTGTGAGAAAGTGCAATGTAACTGCAAATTTCCAACTGGATTGATATTTTCACAATATGTCTCATCCTTCACGCCGAATGGCGTGTCTTTATGAAAGCAACTTAGAAGTATCTCACAGAATGATAGAAAGCCATAGGCTAGGTACTTCCTGGCAATCGTACTAAATGTTGTCTTTTTTCGGAAAAAGCCATCAATACAATAAAAAGTGCATACGCAGAATACTATGCAAAATGATTTACATTTAAAAATTAAAAAAAAACAACCAAAATCGTTAGCGCTGTCCGTCATCTTAGAACGCATACCCAAAGTGCCCATAACAGCAGCAGCATTTCCTTTTACAACAGCTAGGCTAAATCTCTGTTTTAAAAACGTAGTAGAAAGAGGCTCCCCTGTCGCGTCGCGAATCCTTCTGCCAACGAAACGAATGAGCTCCGCAAATGCCGGACCAAAAGTTCCAAAGGTCTCGACCGCCAAGGGATAAAGAAGATATCCCATTCTTTCCACAAAGGCGTATTTACGACGTTAATTGTTTTCGGCCAAAAGCGCAAAACTGCCGGATGCACTCGCTCTTGCCCGCACATGCGTTATGGCTACTGTGTCCTAACATGCAGCGTCCCAAACGAGCGCTTTGCCATCACGTACAGGGACGAGAGTCATGCCGTCTGGCCGCGTATTGTCTATACCGGACAGTCCCAGTGGCTCGCTTTGACAAGGATACCCAGCAGCATTGCGTAAAGAGAAAGCACAGCTTGTTCTAAAAATCAAACTCGATACGGCCGTCACATGCCGGCAGTTTCTCGCAGTCTGCTGTACATTAAATGTCACCACTCGTTTCTTCTTCCAACGCCGGGCGAAACGCAATAGTTTGGCTGTCGTAACTAGAGAAGAGCACGCGGGCGTCGGCGCTATCCAAACTGGTGATTCTCGAGCTAGTCCATCCGTTTGTCTGCGGGTCATACAATTCCATCGTCGACAAGGACACGGCATAGTCGTTCTCGATGCGGCCGCCGAACACACCGATACGGTTGCCGGTAACAAAGGCACAGTGATTACTGCGGGCGTGACGCAAGGATGGCAAGGATTCCCATGTGCGCGTTGTCATGTTCAGACGGGCGCATGACCGCAACGTTTCTACCGACCACACGACCACCGACCGTCCGCCCAGAATGTAGACGTAGTTCTGCAGGACGGCCGTGGCGAAGGCGCACCGACGGCCCGCTAACGGCGGCAGGCTGTGCCATTCGCTCGTTACGGTGTTGAAGCCTTCCACGTACATGAACTTGGATGATGTCGCAACGGGAGAACCGATGAAAATGATGTACTGATTAATGGGCACTCCGCATTCCATACGCCGGATCCTGCAGACCGGCTATCGTTTATTAGGCAACCGTACTATTTTAACACTCTTTTGTGTGCACGGTAGCCTTGTCACACATCGCGGCATCATCGAAGCAAGCGGGGCAGCGCGCAACGCGCAGAGCAGGATAAAGTGGCGAAGTATCAGGAACTCACCCGAGATTACCTGTCCCGTGCATTTGGCGTCGAAACACTCCGGACCGGACGCCTCTCGTTTGGTCACCGAAGTCGGTAGATGATACAACAGAAACAGGCGGTACGGGCGATGGAGTTTCTGCGCCAACGAATCAGCATTGACATCCAACGCGGGAACGCGGCCTCTGTCATGGAACAGCACCAGTATCGGCTAATCAGAAATGTTCTGTGTGATTAGGCCGCTATCTCAGTAGTCGGCTGAGGCTGTGCATTCAGTACAAATCTTTCACTTTTATAGGAACTTGTGACTGTATCGTTTCGCCAATCTGAATAAATTTTCGAAGCTTTGAAAGTTTAAAAAAAAACACTCTTTTCCACATACAGTAAATAGCGGACTAATGAAAGTGAGAACTGGATCGAATGTTAACTTTAGAAAACCAAGAAACATTTGCAACAGCCAGCCGAGCACATTTAAGGGATTCGGCCCGGTACATAGCACCAAATTCATATAATCCACGGCAACTTTCGCTGTCGCGCACTCCCAAACACTTTTTTGCATTGCTTTATGATATTTTGTAGCCAAAGGATTCGTATACATATGCGAAAAAACCATATGTGCGCGCAACATCCGGTTCGGGAGTTATTAGTGAAATAAAATTCCAAAAGTTTAAACGCGTGGAGGTGTACCAAAAGTTCCCGTGTATGTACGTACCCGAATTCGGTACTATGTACGAGGCCAAATCCCTTAACGCGCATAAATTAGCAATATCAACGTCTTTAGTTCTGCACTACATTTTACACACCACTCACCGGTTTAAGTTTGGACCGACCGGCAGTTCCTGCAAAGCGGACCCGGTGTGTTGCAGCAAATCCGTTGTTTTGAACGATCTGCACCTCATATCCCAGAAGCACAGCATGCTCCCAGTTACCACAGGGCATTTGATGAGCGAAGTCTGGTGACCCATAGAAACTGAGCGGCACGTCTGTCTAACCACGTCCCATGCCAGGGTGTGGAACACCCGTGAGGGGCTGCCATCGTGCATGTCGGTGACCTGGCAAAGCACCTCGTTTCTCCACACTCCAATCACCTGACCTAAGTGCTTACGCCGCAGACTGACCGGCAAAGGGAACTGCCACAATCGGGTGCTGGCCGGATGGTACGACTGCGCGTACAGCGAATATTTAATAGAACCGTCAAAGACACGTTGCAGTATTATGACATTATCCTGGGGATTATGTGTTTTCTCGGTCAGCCGCTGGATTATGCTATCCGCAGAGCTTCGACAGTCACTAATAGACTGCACGCAATTACGTCCACATTCAGCGAGAGCGGTTGGCGCCAGGGTGCCAATAACCGGTGTATAACCGTCGACGATCATGATAGCATAGCGGCTATCCGGAGTTTCCTCCCCTGCCTCCATCATGTCGCCGTCGGCATTGTGCAGCCATTCCCGGTGGTTTCCCAGCACGCAGTGCGCGAGCTTCACTACAATACAACCCAAACTCCAGATATCGGTTTTCCGTCCAGGCGGTCGGTGTCCGACCCTTTCCGCTTCGGTTAGGGTGAATTTCTCCAGCGTCTCCGGTGACATATAGCGGATCGTCCTCCGGGCATGGGTCATGTCTGCCGAGCACGTGACATGGCTCTGCATACAGACGATATCGCCCAGATCGCAGAGTATCACCTTATCTCCGAGGTGTCCCAGCCGCCTAACCAGTATGTTACCCGGCTTCAAATCACCGTGGATGATACGGTTTTGATGTAAGAAATGCAGCGCCTGTGCAATTTCCAGCGTATACCGTGTAGCGGTCTGTCTTTTCAGCATGCTGCCGTCTTGTCCTAATTTATTAAGAAGATAAGCTAAATCTTTTTCTATAAAAGTAATTATTATGACGAAATTAACCCAGGTATGCCAATATAATAATCACAAGACTGTACGATAAAGTGGAACAGAGTTATTAATAGAAGTTTATAGCAGTCCTGTAATATTGGAAAATGTACTGTAATACCTTGATAGTACTCCATCATCAGTTCCACGGAAACGAGCGTTCCTTTTCGTTTAGGAAAGCGTATAGTGATTTTGTGATGCTTAACCAAGTGGTTATGCTGCATCTTCTACAGTAACTCACATTTGTCCCGTAGTTTTCGATAGTACTCCGAATTCATCTGCAGCCTGGCTGTACAGTATCCAGCTGGATAACTTTCATGGCGACGGTTTCGTCCCCGGCGAAATTGCCACGCTCCGTCACGGTGGCCATGTATACGTACCCAAATGCACCGCGTGCCAGGCAATCGGTACTCTCGTACTGGTACTGGTAGTTGCTTCCGAGTACTACATTTTCTCCCGCAACACAGTTCTTACACCGATCCACTGTTGTAGCATGTTTTTCAAATTTCAAAATGAATTTCAAAAATTGGAAAACAATCGTGGAAGTCTGGATCGGTGTAAGAACGATCTTCATGGTTATGTGCATTTACTTGCAAAATCTGAAATGGATCGGTCCATAATGAGACTTTTGGTACACCTGAATGCAGTTAAACTTTTTGGAATTTGTCTGACAGCCATAACTCCCGAACCGGATGTTGCGCGCGAAAACGGACTTCACGCCTCTGAAAACAAATCATTTGGCTACATAATGTCAAAAAGCCATTCAAAAAAGTGTTTGGAAGTGCACGAAAGCGGATAATCCCGTCAATGTACACGAATTTAGTGCTATGTACCGGGCCAAATCCCTTAAATGAACATCCGGTCTGACCTGAGGGAACGCTGACCGAATCAATTAGCCGCAAGGCGTTATTCGACACAAACAGAACATATTTTCGCCATGAAAAAACCTTTATCTTTATTATTCGCACGCCATTGTACGTACTCCTCGTAATTTTTTCTTTAAATGCGTTGACTGCAGTTAATTGCGCCGAAGTTTCCACACAGGAGAATATGCAAAAAGCAGACCCTATATTCACCGGCGATCCATCTCCACTGCCGGACGATCCGGATATCCGCGTGTTGATTGATCACTGACTAACTGACTCAACAAGCACCAGTATAAGAGTAAATTACTCTATTTGTATCAAGATTGTCCAAAGTCCTCCAAACCGCCGGTATGCGACTCTATTTGAGAACTGAGGCGGTACGTTACCGTGCGCAGCAGCCGTTGCCAATTAATGATGTTTGAAAATCCTCTCAAATCAGATCGTAGTCGTAGAATGACTATCGTACCGTTCACACAAGCGGCGTGTGAAAAAAGTTGAATTCGACCTCTTGTGAAAAATGTATGGAGGAAAGAAGGGTATGATCTGTTCCCTGTTGTTATTATGCTTGAGCATTACATGCTTTTATGCTCAGCCTAATTACACGCTTAACGATGCATCATCACGGCAGAGGTCAGTACAAGCACAATGTCGAAATTTTTAATTAGCATCTACCAGCGCCGGCTTGTTGTTCTGTTAATTGGCTATTGCCCGAATACATATACAGCACAATATACTTCAACGGGTGTTTTGGCTAATGACGTCTTCATTCAGCGTGGGTGAGCCCGAGAGAGCGGGTCAGGTGGCGGCCAACGCGAGCAGGAATGTGCCGGCACCTGTTGACTGCTGGCCGAATGCCCGGTTCGCCCTGCTGCGCCCGGTGACCGACTGCCCCGGCGGCGGCATCTGGGAGGCCGGGGAAGTGATGCACCATCTCGGCGGCAGCTCCTCCGTCTCCCAGCAGAACCTCCTCGGCGCCCACATCACGGAGGAAGCCGTGACCCTCCACTTTTGCGTCCGGAATCCCTCCGACGAGCCCTGGTACGACGACTGCCGTCCGCTCAACCCCGCCTTCCCGCCCGGCTCCTACTGCCTCCTCAACGCGCAGCCCCGGACCAGCTTCGACCACTGCCCCGCCGGCTTCCACTGGAGCGTCGTCGGCCTGGACGACGTCGGGACGCCGCTACGGCGGGCGCGGCCGCGCGGCTTCCTCCCGACCGGGGAGTACCTCCCGGACTTTACCCGTTATTATTTTTGTTGTCGCAACGACTCCGCTCCCGGTAATCCTGTGGTGCTGCCTACGCAGCGGCCCTTTATCCTATTCCCGTTGGGCGGGCACTGCGCATGCCAGGAAGTGGTCGGAATGCGGGCCAGGATGGTCTCGCTCTATCTGGATGCGGAGAACGGCTCCTATGTCAACCACCCCGATCCGTATTGTTCGCCGTACGCGGAAACGGCGGATAGTATCGTCGCGGGTGCCGGGTCTGCCTGTATCAGGGAGAAACGGGGAACCGGGCTGCGCTTGCACATGTGCCATTATAGTTGATGATGGGCGCTGGATCCGCGCCAATGTTCATGTCAATACCGGTAACCGGTACTAACAAAATCAACCGGCGAAAGCATTTTAACTGTTGTGTTACGGTTACTCGGTTCATTGCATGGTATCGTGTAATTATATTGTATTAGCCACGAATACGTACGTAATACATGCACTGCCTGACCGCATATTTCCCGCATTGATTAACATTTTCAAGCTGGTGGCGTGGTAGTAGTTATTAAGAGTGCCAAAGAGTCCTTCACGCCAAATGCCGCTTCTTTATTACAAAAACGGACATATCGTACCGAGCGATAAAAAGCCGTACAGTGAAACCTCCAAGATACGTACACCTCCGTTCAAAAAATTTCGTACGTAACTCAGAGGTGTACGTAACATAGAATCGCCACCCCCAACGCCCCCTGGGGGGGGGGCGACTGTATAATGAGGGGACTGTCCCACTGCGGAGTGCTCAGTATACTGCATGCAACTTCACTGTACACAGCGTGCAGTTCGGAAAGGTACATGTTGCATTAGTTCACACAAATTTTAATATTTTTACAGCATATAAGCAGGCGGAAAAGTTTCTCCCACACACTTCGAACAGAAAACATCGTCCGAATCAGTTCAGAACAAAAGACAACGTACAATTTTAAGCTAGTTTCTTTGTTTCTTTACGATTTTTCCATCGAATATTTTAAAAAAACCAAATTCTTACTCGCCAGTGTACGTATGTTCGAGGTGATTGCGTACAGTTTACTGCTTAGGCGGTACAGAGAAAAAGTGTACGTGTACGTATCGTAGAGGTGTACGTCACGTAGAGGTTCCCCCCTGTACTGTAGTCTACGGAGAGTTTCGGTACAGAATTTTTCGTACTTAAGTGAGAGGTGTACGTATCTTGGGAGTGTACGTACGAGGAGGTTTTACTGTATATTAAATTAATTAACTAGCTATATTCTACACAGTCGCGATCACACTACAGAATAGTACTGTACAGTTACATAAAACAATTATGTTGCTACCGGCATGCTAATAGCAATTGTGGAGTATACTACTGTATGCTGCAATAGCCGCGGATTTCCGGGCAGATTCCTAAGAAGCGCATCGTGTCGGCCACAAACTCGGCGCAATTGCGCAGAATGCTGTACGTGTCTTTCAGCTCGGATCGAATGAACGCCAGCAGATCCTCCAGCGTCCGTTGCGTGCCCGGCTGAATATCCTCCCAGATGATCCATAGCCACTCCCGCTCCTCGCTCCAGTTGCTGCGCTTGAGGTCCGCCCGTCTCTTGCTGCGCTGGATATTGATGCCCTCGTCGTGCTTGTCGATGCACCAGTACCAGTCGTCCGTCTCCACGATGGCAAAGCTGTGCTTCACCACCGCCGCGGTCGGGCCCTCCATACCCTGGATCTTGCAGTTGTAGGTGGAGATGGCCAGCACCTTCTCGTCGTAGCGCACCGCCTCGCTCTCCCGGATGGCGTTGAACATATCCCAGAAGTCGTCATAGTGGCAGCGGTACATGAACGTCGCGGACGCTTTCCCGGCCGATGGGTCAAATAAGAGTCGGCCGGCCCACGAGCCTCCCCACTTGGTTTTGCCGGCATGCTCCTCCTTGGACACGGAGTACTTGCAGCAAGACATGTCTGCTGCGTTAGTTATACGGCTTGGGTGCTGCCCAGGAATTGGGGGGTGGCGCCGAGGGACTGGCTTGTTTGGTGTTGTTCTGGCCGGTGCCGCCTTTATTCTTCTGGATGTCGCAGTGGCAGGGACTGGTAATGTTGATCACCGGGTTGGGACTGATCAGCTTGGAGCCGGCGCCACCCATGCGAGCCGGTGAAGGGCGTGGATGAGGCGTTACTTTGTGGCTTGTGGGGCCTCCTGCCAATGCATAATAGAATTCGGCATCGACTGTTTACTTTCCCAGGTTTCACAGCTTCTAACTGGTAAGGCATCTTCTCTTATACACAAATTAAAGCGCTGTACTAATACTAACTGCACAATAAGCACATTAAGTAGCCTGATGCTGTTGCAGGGCTAATGTTACACACTGCTATGGCCACAGCTATAATTAAACATGGAAAGGTCAAGACCGAGCCGGCCGCTCACAGAATCACACGTGCAGTGTTGTTTAAGAGCGATGGCGGCACCCAGCAGACAAGGCTACCTGAGCAGTGTTAACAGCAACTGAAGACATACGCACTCAACAAGCAGTACTCACGCGCATGGAGAGGTTTTTTATTCAAGGAGCCAGCATGATGACATTAGAACAGTAATCAGAGCATCAAATTTCGGCACGACCAATGACATTAGTCAAAGGTCATGTACACGCTACAGGAGACCGGCAGTTCTAACGGGTATACCGGTAACTACAAAATGCTGCACAATATGCCCATGCGGTATACAGAGTACTCTATCAAGATGGGTGATATGGATTCTTAAGAATTGTTCTTACCGATCGGATCGGACAGACCAACGCGCAACGACCTAGTTACTCTGACCGAACCACTCCACCTGCCCCGTAACTGGCAACTGCAATCCCAGCAGAAAATGTCAACAACAGGAAATATATCTGTGCAGGGCCAGAGCACAGCGCAAATAAGAACGATCGATGATTTACCTGACAATGAAGCAACGTTCAGCACAGATTGTCAGCGTAATGTATTGCCGCCGTATCCTCCACGGAATCCTTGTAAATGAATTACCGGTTCAAATACCGGCGATATGGTCCGCAGAGAAAAAAATTTAAGTAGTAGGGCGGCGTATCATCAGCTCAAACGAGATGGGAATTTTCAAAGTGGATGTGCAACCGCTTGCCGCCACTGCAGGATTTGCAGTCTTCGTACGAGTTTATATAGGAGCGTCGGTGCATATATGCTTTTACGAGGAGAGCATTGAGAGCTTTTCAGTACAGTAATTATACGAGTAATTAAGCCGATTGACATAGCCAAATTCAGATGAACCACACAGCCTACCGACATCGCAGTCCTCCGTCACTCTAAACCCACTTTACAAATATAGCTGCGTCGTGGGCACATTCGCGTGATCTACGTCGCTGACACCCATTAATCACCGCGCTTTCTAAAATTTACCCAACCTTTACGTCCTATCCAAGGTTAAGCAAAACCGCACAAGAACCCGGCAATGGCAAGGAATTAATCATAATAACGTGACTATTACAGTAGTAAAAATCTTCTACGCTTTTCTTCCATTTTTACCCCTGTCAACCAGATTCTGCGCGCAAGACAATTTTCTTATCAGTTACGCGTTTGACGCTTTCGCTCACTTTTCACGCTTTGACGCTCTTCATGTAAACAGGCGATGCGATCACGTTTGACCTTGGGTGAGACGTAAAGGGCGAGAAAGTGTAGGGAACCGAAAGTGATTAATGAGTGTCAGCGACGGTGATCACGCGAATGGTCCCCGAGACAGCTATTTTTGTAGACTGGTTAAACTGACGAAGAACTGCGACGTTTACAGGCCTGTGTTGGTCAGCTGACTTTGGCGATGCAAAAGTTAACTGGCTCAGTTTGTTGTGATTTACGGTTTGTGTTCTTTTCTCGAAAGTTCTGCAGTCCGCCGGCAACCCTATGGCGCTTTACGAGTGTACGGTTGGGGAGAGGAGTTGCATGTTAGCTGCGTGGGATGTCGTTAATATTAATCCTGCCATCATCGCGATCATCACTGACCGGTTGTGCTCTGTGTAATACTTGTGTGCTTGTACATGTATATTGCATGTATACTCGTATAATTATGTATATTTTTAACAAAAGCTTCGGAAACTATAAAAGTACTCGTGTTGTAAGTTGTAATAGTAATCAATTAAAATGAGTGCATTCGAAAGATTATGTATATTACTGCTTGTACATGTATATTACATATATATGTATATCTATATTACTGCTTGAACCCTGTACATGTATATTGCTCTCTGCATGTATATTACAGTACTTCACAAGTTTTTGACAACATACGGTAACACCTTTAATAAGTATCATGTCACAAGTACAAACTTAGTACTAGAAAACATTAATCTCATAACAGAAACACTTCCTCAATGCTATCCTGATCGGGCATTGTACCCATTACACAAATCGCATTCCCCCGTTGTATCTGGATAGAGAGCCGCTGTCTAAAAAACTCTTTCGCACGTTTCTCGCCTGTGGCGGTGGCCATACCGCTTCCAACCTCATCCACAAGCCTTTTTGTTCCATCTCCCCACGGTCCGTAAATTTCGAATGCTGCCGCCATGAAGTTATACCGTGGCTGCAGCCAGCTGTTTCGAAAGTTTCGCTCTTTCGGCATGTTCAGCTGCGGCCCCGGCATTCATTGAGGTGCGATCGATATAAGAGGCTGCAAGTGTGTCCACGCAAGTCACATCGACGGCCAGCGGCTTTCCGCGTTCCCGCGTTTTGACAACCGTGGAACAGGAGGACAGATGCTGCTGCGTTCGTAGCGTGTTGTGTATAAGTCGTTATTAAGTGATATTAATGAAGACGAGCACAACTACGATGTACGAGTATATATACGCGATGTACCGTATAATTGCGTATATGAGTGCAAAGCCACTGAATGTATATTACATCTGAGTATGAGTTACGGTAGACGTACATGGCCTGAGGGGACACTGGTCGAATTAACTAGCAGTCTAGCCGTAAGCTGACAATTCGGCATGCGCCACACACGAAAATATTTCCGTGATTTAAACAGTTACTCTTGTTCTTCGTACACCCCTACATGCACTCATCGTAAATAATAAATAGTTATATTTATTCTGTAACGCGTGGCTGCTCAGTCCACGCAGGAGAACATGCAGAAGACAGCCAACGCCTCAACCAGTGACTCGTCTCCACTGCCGGACGATCCCGAAATCCGCGCTCTGATCCAACGCTACCAGCTGAAGAAGCACCCCGAAGGCGGCTGGTACCGCAAACTGTACAAATGCCAGGACACCGTCTTGCCGCAGTCACCCGCCCTCGAACGCTACCCCCCGCCGACCTGCCACGCTGCCGGCACCTCCATCCTCTTCCTGGTGACCGCCGGGGACCACTCCGCCTGGCACCGGCTCCTCTCCGACGAGACCTGGTACTTCCACCGAGGTGACGCCCTCACGCTGCGGACCATCCGCCCCACCGGCGACCTCCAGGAGGTGGTTCTCAGCGGGGATCCGGCGGAGGGGGACCTCCAGTACACGGTACGGGCGCTGCAGCCCCTGTCGGCCGAGACCCGCGGACGCTACACCCTCGTGGGCTGCGGACAGTGTCCGGGTTTTGAGTACCGGGATTGGCAGCTCCTGACGCGCGAGGAGTTCCTCCGGGAACATCCTGGTCTGTCGCATTTGGCGTATTTGTGCTCTCAGTAATGTCTGTCCTAATTCAGGATTGCGTGACACTGTAACACTTACTAATTCTGGTTGTTAAAAATAATCGTCTGTGATGTTATGGTGCTGGGATTTTCTATAGATTTTTTTCTTTAGTGTAAGTTTGATATAATATTATTAGAAGTAGAGATCTTAGTGTTATGAAAGCAGGATTATCAGGGAAAATGCCAAAATGGTGTTTTGATACAGCGTGTCAGCGTGTGTATACTTGTACTCTAGTTTTTTTTATTTATCGACTAGCGTTTTTTAGGGACTTTTGGATTACTAAGTAACACTTAAAGAAGTAATAAACTATACTGTATTCGGTTTTATGTGCTATTTTTTTTAGATTTTTATTCATAATTACACCGCGCATTACACAAGTAACAAGAACAACAATCCTTGACATCATTGCCGTTCAGCTAATTTAAAGGCAAAATACAAATCTCCCTTCTCAACCATGTCACCAAAAGTACCGAGAACAGACACTGCATTTCCTCGCTGGATCTCGATACCAATTCTCTGACGCAAAAACTCCCCTGAGCGAGGGTTGCCTGTACAGTCACAGATCTTTCTCGACAAATCTTTAAAAAACTTCTTCGTCAGCGGTCCAAATGTTCCCGTGGTTTCGAAAGCCAGCGGTTGAACTATGTAGCGATCTGCCAGGCCGCTGTACTTTCCCAACTTCTGGTTTTCCCACATTTCCGCTGCACTCTCCGGCACCCTGGACGTCTGGCCAATGTAAGTTTGGGCAAATGTGTCTGCCACGGTAACATCCCACACTAGCGGCTTTCCATTCTTCTATGGGAAGGCTGTCACTCCGTCGGGCCGCTTTCCATCGCCTCTGTCTAAGCCCACCGGCTCGAGTGATGAGGGCACTTTTGCCGAACTCAGCGCCCGCTTGGTTGCTTCGTTCAAGACGGCGTGGACTGGACACCGTGTCTTCCTTTCGCCAGCTTGCAAACCAGCCCATGGTGTCCGAGATTGTCTACGGTACTGCCGCACCTACACACATGCTTCTGGCATACTGGAGCTCCTAACCGCCGCGCCACGGCAATTTGTAAGTGGGCATCCTCCAGTAGATTTCCGAATATAGATACGGGCAAAGCAGACAACCAAGCACGCGATTCCGGTGAGGATGCAACCAACAATCGCGCAGAGGTAAATACTAAATACGTCGGCATTCTCCATCATGCGGGATACTGTCTGGTTATGCTGCAATGCTGTCCAGACCGACTGGAAGTGACGGCTTTCCATCCGCGGAGGTTCCAGGGAAAAGCGTTCGATCCAAACTTCCATCAGCCGATTGGCTGTGTCTTTTATTTATGTGTGCTATTAGTAAGTATATTAGTATCAGGACGAAATAATGAAACTGTAGTGTAGTGGCTACGGCCTACGGGCAGTAGTTGCGCGTAGCCACGTTACTGTAGCCGCTAGACGAACTTGCACCACTTTTAGATCCGGCCGCTGCCTGCCACTGGCCCGGCATTGCTGATCTGCGCCGGGAAGGCAACCGCCGTAGACGTTGTTTCGCACGTCACCAATTACAGGAATTGCGCAGTGCGCCAAAATGAGAACTACGCATACGCTACGTATCACGTAAAGATTGGCGCATGGTAGGCGCACTGTAATACCGAGGCCGCTAACTGACCGCAGAATTTACCGAGTACACTACTCTTTTTTATCATGCATGTGTCTTTCGCTTTGTAGACCTTGGTTTTCTGTTAATTTTCATGTGCCACCCGTCTTTGCAGACAGCACGGTTTGCAAACGCGCCCTAATTAAAAATTACAGTAGGAGCACGCGTTGCTATGGAGCAGCCACGACTTCCCGGCTACTCGAAGGCTACTGACTTCCAACCGCCCTCGGGCTGCGTGGCGGCGCAGATCAGCAATTGAGCACGAGCCTTCCTCCCACCGGGTGGGGTGGCCCACACTTTACCTTTCAAATTTTAGTACTATACTCGGTGCTGCCTGCCCCTGCCACGGGCACCCCAAAAACAACAACAAACCAGATTTACAAACAGAAAAATATCAGAGCTCTGACATTGTGCTCTTGTTAATAATTATCTAGCGTTGCAAAGAATAAAAAACTAGCAATGAACAGCAAAACATGTAAAACGGCGGTAGCATCGAAGTGAAAATAATTCAAATCAAAAACATTTTTGCACGGAGCAAAGTATGTATATTGGGCCTGCATTTTTCCGTACACCAGACTCTGTGGTGCAAGTTCGTTTAGCGGCTACAGAATATCTGCATGACTTTTGGTCGACCTAACCCTATGCGGTACTCGTATTCTTTGCCAATTATCATTTAGTTAGCCAGTATCTCGCAAGCTAGAATGAGTGAAGATGCCCAATAAATCTGCTGCAGCATATGCCCGTAAGCACTGCTTACGTAGGGAATCGAACCCCGGCTACGTCGTAAGATCTGCCTAGGCAGCACCACTGCACCACGGCGCAAAGTGTTGAAAATCCTTGAAAGACTTTGTCGCTGTACGTGAGCCGATTCCCTCCTCACGCCAGAATTTTTTTCTCTCGCGTCTCAGCTACCTTGTTACTGCATTTACAACACAAGAGGAAAGCTTCCACGAATGGGTCATTTGGTGAGTAAGCATCCTGCCTTTCTGAAGTCCAGCCAGAAGAAAAGAAATATTTTTAAGCGACTGTCTCTATGTAGTGTCTCTTTATCTGTAGGCCCCTCAGTTCGCGCTGGGAGCGAAGCCGCCGTTTCAGCCGCTATTAGCGGATGCCAGTCAGATCAGCTATCACAACACGGTTGTCGTGCGCAACGCTGACGACACGTGGTGGCTGGGATACATTCAGGATATTAACGGCGACCACGCATTCATCCACTTCGACTCCACAACAGCCGCAGCGCGCTGGATGCACTTACGAGACGTCTGGCCGCTGCCATCCTACTGGGACATAATTCTTACCAGTAAAGGTCACCCAAACACTCCAGTATTTGCGGCACTGCGTGATGAAGACAACGGAGCCTTCCGTTTCCGACCAGCCGTTATCCTCAACACGGCTTTTAGTTGTGACGCGGGTTACGAGATGCTTCACATCCGAACTGATGCGTCCACAACGAACAACGCTCCGGTACAGCACGCCGGTTTTCATGTGGTCCACCTGTGCCAAGTGGCCAGTGAGTTGCCGCCCAGTGGACCCTCCTTGCTGGGTCGCCGCAGCGGTCTGCTCTATACCAAACACTTCATTCCGTTCGGCCAAGCGAATGCCGTTCTGCGCGAGCCTGCCGATAAATTTCGTATTGTCAGACATGTGGATAACGCTCTTCGCGCCAGGATGGCAGCAACTAATACATATAGAATGGACTGCTGCCGGTTTCATCTGCGCATTGAACGGGACGGTTGTATATTTCTTATCGCCTACCATGCAACCGACGCGCTACCCACGGACTGGATGAATGAAATGTTGTTGAAAATCTTGGAAACACATCTGAACCGCCGAGCGGATCTACCGCCGATTGACAATCGAACGTACCACGCAGGCACACTGACCTCTGGCGAAGACGGTTGGTAAAACCCCACTATGCGTTGGGCAAGCAAACCGACTCTACTACACATTTTTAATATCAAGAAGCATTCTAGAATCAGTCTGAACATGTTTACAATGAGGAAAATTGATTTTGACTGAAACATGTTTTCAAAAACTTAACATGGTAGTCTATGCAAGCGGAACATGGCGCATGTGGTTGGTCCCTGTACAAGCTGTAGCTGTGAGGCCGATCTCTAGGCCGGTAGTTTTTTATCCTAGGGAACCTAAGAAAACCTAAGAATGGCCTAAGAAAACTACGTTAACTGTGGTCAGTTTCCATAAACCACCACGTTAAATTTGTGGAAGTGCATTTCAGTCAGGATCAATTTCCCTCACTTGAAAAATGTTTAAATATAATAATTTTAGGATGCCTCTTAAACCTAAAAAGATGTATTATATACGCTTTCCTTGTCCACCGGATAATGTGATAAAACCAGACGGTTAGCAGCGTGACCTTGATAATACGCAATAACCTGGCATTGCCCGGGGTATCAAGGAATTTTTTGTTGTGAAAACTGCACCGCTTGGGCATTGCCGATATACAATACGTACGGTGTGGGCAAGATGGTTGCGATGCGACACCACGCAAATTCTTTTTCAGATTTCTATAATATTATTGCCCCATCGATGTGGACTGCCGGCATCTGCGATTTGACACCTTCGCTACTGAGCGACATCTTGTCGCATTTGGACCTACATTCACAGATGAAAGCCAAACGGTAGGGTTTCGTGTTTCCTCTACTAAAAGCGTACACAGCGTAATTTTTCCTAGTTCTTTAAAAAAGTCTGCATCATTTGGGGGAGTGCTACAGTTGCCGTTCAGACCGGTTATTGTCTAGAGAATTGTAGATGGTGTTTGGTTTAAACTTTAAAATAATACAGTAGTTTGTGTGTATTTTTAAAGAGTGTGTGCCATATGGCAGCTGCTGCTGAGTAGCTATAAAATGAGGGAACGCGTCAGTATTTCCTTCGAAAGCTATTGGGAACTAAGAGCCGACGGCAGTAAATGCGTCCTTCTAACGGGCTCGAATAATCATTTCAAAGCGGCCGCTCTGCTCAGCTGCTCCATCAACGCGGCGACAACCAGCCTCACTCTGCTGATAGTCTTCCCGCCGCTCTACCACTACCTCCTTGTATATGCAGTCTTCCACACCGTGGGAATTAAGTTGCCGATCCTGGTCCTGAAAGACCACTGTGACGTCCAGCCATTGGGATTGCCACGGCAGAAACAGTCGCGTTTAAAGCACGGGGCAGCGACGCAGATCACGCACTATAAGGGCATGTGCAACTTCGTCCTACTGCACAACTGGACCGCTTCCCGTCTTTTCGGTCGCCAAATGCGCGAAGTCTTCGGGGATAACCTCTATTATAACCCCCATTCCGGCGTGACCTCGCGTCGCCTACCGGCGCACGAGCGGGAATGGATGCTGCCGGAAATACACGAACTGGCCATCGACCAGCTGCAGATCAGCATTCCGAAACTGCTTCTGCGCTGCAGTGAAGGCCGGTTCCGTATGACGGCTCGCGTGATGTGCGCCCTCAACGACAACTTCCCGCCGGTGACGCA